TGGGAACAGAGATATCTGAAGAGTAATCACTGGTAACTTGCCTGGAATAGACTCATGAATGCTACACTTTGGTGCCTCCCACATTTGCATTTCTATTTTAAAGCTTCTCTCATTTTCTATTTTGAAGCTTCTCTCATGAGTGCTGCAAATGCCATTGGTCCTTCTCCAGAACATCAGTCTCTTAAAACTGGGAGAGAATGGAAGACTTTTGCTAAATGTGAGATGTCCCCCATAATGAGGAACAGTTGGGGATGTGACCTGTGCTGACAGGAACGTGAATAAGGCCAGGTTGGGGATTTCTAGCAATTGCACTTCGTTCAGCTCACATTACCAAATGGATGTGAAAAGAGAAGCTATAAGACTGTTGGATCTTTTTCCCCCTCCTCCTCCTCCTCCTCCTCCATTTGGGGATACTAGTCTTAACTGATTCATCGCTCAGCTTTTGCAGAGCTTATCTTAATTAACTAGCAGAGTAGCTGAGCTCTTGGAAACAGCTGTGGTCTCACTGAGCAACTTTGCAGAGGCAGACTGCATCTCTCATCTCTTGAAGAGCCAATCATATTGTCCGAGAACCTCTCAGTGAAGAAATACCAACAGCCCTTTAGCTAAAAACCTTCCCTAAGGGAAGAGCAGAAACAAACAAAAAAGCATAAATGGAAGTGGGCCTTTTTCATCCTTAAAGGGGCACACTCTGCAGGCACATCCCTTTTCTTAATTAGGCAAGGGAACCAGAGGCCACCTCACTTCCCATAGACCCCACTGCAGGACTCCCAGCCATTTCCTCCTCCGAATGTGGGCAGGTGTTAATGAGACCAGAGATGCCTGAGAGACCACAAGTGAAAACAATGAAAATGATGGGAGGCTTCAAATTCCTTTTTTACTTGTTAAGGAGAAGGCAGTAGATTTCCTTGCAGTGCAATTAGTTCTCCATCTCTCCTTGCTTAGATCCAGAATTACATACTTGATTATAAATCCTAAGTGGTAGTTTATAATAGCAATAATCCTTTCAAGCTTGATATTTGCTCATTGTCCCTACCACTACCCTGGTGTGATACTGCAAGAAACTTACCTGCTTATTTTAACCACTTAGTATTTTCCCCCCCTCTGTCTTCTCATTTCATTGATGGGTTGAAAGTAGATAGATGAATGGGATTAAACCCACACAGAAAGTTAGTATCTCTGGATGTGTTGGTCTGCAGATCTCATTGTTCCCATTGTCCAACAGGCTGAAGGACACTAGGTTAGGGAAGGGAAGGCAAATTGACAAGAAACATTTATTCACAGAAGAGAATAAATCTTCCCTCATTCCTGAGTTATAATGGGTGGGCTTCTGCACCCACTGTGCTAAATGCAGCAGTGCGGGTGGAGAAAAAACTGAATTTAGTGCAGTGGAGCACTAAAAGACCCTAATCTAGCTTAAATCAGCTAATTTTGATCCTTGCAACACTTTGTAGAAGTTTCTGCTGAAGTTCAGTGACAAAATATGAAGACTTTGCAGGTGCCCTGTAGAATATGCAGGGCCCCATGAGTGCAGGGGGACAGAAATAGCCCCTGAATTCCCTAAAGCTGTCCTGCAGTGACCACATTCCATGTGTCGTACAGCACATGGACTGAATGCAGCAGTGCTTCTACCACACATGCTTTCTGCAGACAACTTAGTAGCTGTGGTGGCTGTTTTTTGCCAAAGATGGTTAGATGACATGTTAATCCTAGGAGACTTCTTCACATGAAAGCCGTGTGATACGGTGTACAAAGCATCCGGCGTTAATAGTTTCCAGAGGGGTAACCTTGTTATTTTATTGCAGCAAAAAGAGTCTTGTACTAACTTAAAGACTCAGAAATAATATTATGGCATACGCTTTTGTGGATATGAAGCACTGCTTTATATTTAAAGCAATGCTTCAGTATTGTCCTGCTTTAGCCATCTTTGGAATCTGGAGCAAGTCCTTCCTATGACAGGCTGTGGTATAGCATGACTGGCTGGCTTTGAGCCATATGGGAGATCTATGTGATAGATGTTCTTATCATGATTCACTTTGATTATTTTTGGTGGGAGACATTAAATCTAAGAAGTTAATGTAATAAGCTCATTGGACTGCCAGTGATACATTGGACTTGGACTAGGGAGACTTGGATTCCAATCCCTGTTCTGACAATCTCCCTAGCTGGCCCATGGCAGTTTTTTTCAGCCTAACCTACCCCACAGGTAAAATACAAGGGTAAAATACTCTCAATTAACTAATTATATAAATAGAAGACTGGTTGAAGAATTTAATGACAAATGGAAATTCTGTTATACCCAGTACAATTAATGGGATGTAAAAGGGAGTTCTTTTAAAAAGTAGTTTAGGATCTATAGTTGACTTTAAGTGATTTGAAAATTTGGTGTACAGAATAATGTCATCTTTTCTGAACTCCCATAGAATTGAATGACAGAAAGATAGATAAATTTGTGGGCTTGAATGTATTGGTTGTACTCGTTAAAATCCCTTGGCAACTTTATTCTATTTTACTTTATTTCACATATACTATTCTTATTTTTGTATTTGGTTTATGTTAAGAGAGTAATAGTAATTTAAAAATGGTAGTATACTTTCGGCATCTTGGAAGAAGCTCAAGTAACTATGTAACAATTAACCATATGGAAGCTGTTGAGCAGCACAAGCCATTTTATGCAGCAGTTGAGGACATAGCTTAATCATTGTGTAAAAAAAGTGTCCGTCATATTTGGGCAATGTTATCTGAGTTAAAGGTGTGCATTTTACTGTTAAGGTTCTGCACAAAACCCATTGATGCAAAGGCTGAGATTCAGGGAGACCGGTTTGTCTGGATCTTTATTATCATTAAAAAGGTCATGTGCCTGAAATGAGAGCTGCTTCTGTGTCATATCAAGTCAACCTTTGATTTCATTCAAAATCTTGTTTGCCTAAACTATTTTCATATCTCTACTCTCTTCCAAATCTGAGATTCGTTATAGATATTTATTTCTTCCATCTTCCCAAGCAACTTCTGGAAGGTCTTTTGGATTAGAACTTTAATATTTGGAGTCTGTTTTGTCTGTGCATTCATTCTACAATTTTCAAAATGCCATTTGTGCCACTGCATTGGCGTCATTTTCTACATCTGGTTTTTATGTTGACTGGAGATCTAGAAAAGGGAAGTGGTGGTATAGTTAACATCTAAAAATTGGGCACTGTATAGGAATTGATACCTTCTGAAGATGTCACACTAGAGCATGTTTGCACAACTTGTGACCCTACCAGTTATGTATGGTGACTTATGTTTGGCTCAGTCATTCTCCTGTTTTCAGTCGGACTACAAAAATAGGAGTGAGAGTACCAAGCTCCCAGCAGGCCACATATGTGGTTAGGGAGTCAAAAGTTCTCAGTATTGTCAAGCTCTTTGGTTGTTATTCGCATAGTAGTTCAGCTGATATTTCCACTTCTTCATTTTACTTGTTGCTTTATAATGTGTGGGAATTGTAGGGTAGGGTTTGACTGCAAACAGTATACATTACTTCTTTGTTTTGTTTTGTTTCCTAAATAGTGGTGTTGCCAGATAACCAAGGTAAATGCTTCTGCTTTGCATGGTGCCTATGTTCTAGAGTATTTCAAAAGTAATCCCTTTTTAATTTAAGCCAATAAAAGTTCCCAGATATAAGAATTACAAGAAGTTCAAGTTGGCGCGGAGAGGCTGAGTTCATAACAATAGCAAAATAAAAATGGAGAGAAATGCGCCAAATGCCCAAACAGAAAGAGCAAAGCAAAATTTACTGTGGTTAGTGAATGCTAACCTCTTGTGCATATTGGCATTAATGTTACAAAAATAGCATTACTAACAATGAAGGAAAGCTTGGATGTTTGTTTCCTACTTGGATATCTCTCAAGGATGTTTAAGGTAGCTTTCTTGCTATGAGATATTCATACTTGTAAAATTATGAGTTAATGATAATGATAATAATAATTGTACCTACAAAGTTTGCATGATCTCAAACATAGGATATAATTCACAGTTTGCACTTCAAGTGCACTTGAGAAGAGTGATGTGTGGTGAAAATCCTTTCATTCAAATAAGTAAAATTATGTATAATAAACTAGGCTTGTTCATGAGATTGGGGGCAAAGTTTATTAAAAATACAAACAAATTGAAAATGTTCTTGAACAATTTGAGTGACCAGAAATGCAAGTTAACAGATAAGATATACCTTCATTCTGATCAAGGATAATTTTGAAAAAGGATAAACATGAGATGTCCAAAACAGTAATGCAGAGCTGTTATCGTCTCCAAACTGCCCAAGTATGCACACTTATGTCCTTCAGCTCTTTCTGTTATTAAATGAGTAACTAAGTAGCTGATGGGAGGGAGGGCATGGAACTTTCTGAAAATCTAGCAGTGGTGCCTTGATTATTTTGCGTTCCTCTCTAAAAACATTTTGAAAGTTCAGTAGAGAAGTACCCAGACAATGGCTGCAGACTGCCAATTTATAATGCAGGATGGTCAAATGCGATTCTTGGGAAGTCAGCTCATGTGTTATTTTGAAGTATGGAATAAAATGGAGTTCTTTTCCATTTCTTATGGTAATATTCAAGTGTGAGATTCAAAAAACTGAGAATGTTTGGGGGCCCAGGACTCATGCTGTACTTGAGATAAGGGAGTTCCACTTCATATATTGCAAATGGCATTCAGATAAAGAACAAGCTGTTTATAAGGTACCATGCTTCTAAGATAAACAGATTCTGAAATTGAACACTTTTTTAGATTAGTGCCTGGCCATCCATAAAACTGCAAAGACAGGTTTCAAGTAATCATCTGGCTCCTTTCTAGCAAAAAGTAGCAATGGAAGTGGTTCCATATGCACTTGTGTTTCCTGGGCTCTTTTGGTATTCCTGATAGGTGTTGTAGCTGTTCAGTTTGATGCTTGTCTCTTTTAAAGATTCTCAATAGCCTTTTCTCTCCATATCTCGCTCCTATTTATTTGTTCGTTTAATCTTCTCTTGCAGAAGATGCTGGTGAAACAACAGGACCGTCTAGAAGAGCGTGAGCAAGACATTGAGGAGCAGCTGTACAAGCTGGAATCAGACAAGCGGCTGGTTGAAGTAACTGATTCCCCTCTTCCTCACACCCACACCCAGATGCTAGAAACAGGATGGGTCCTGGGACTGCAGTTGCATGCCAACTTCACCTATCAAGAAAGTGCCTTGATAGTACAACTTGGAAAGGAGGGTGTTGCGGCCTTCATAGCAATAAATTTACTCCCGATGCATGGAGATCCTCAAGTAGACCTGTTAGAAAGGATGTATAAGGGAATGAACTGCTGCGGTAGGGACAAGCAATGTGTGGCTCTCCAGATGGTTTGAACTGTAACACCCAACATCCCTCCCATTGGTTACATTGGCTAGGATTTATAGAAGCTGTTGGCCCAAACATCTGGAGACCCACAAGTTGCCCATCCCTGTACTACAGTTTCCAGGCAAGCCAGTAACACGGGGTCCTGGAATGAAGTATTGTGCAATAGTTCCTAGCATTGTAAGTCATGCACCCCAGCATCTGTATTCAGAGACTTGACTTTATTGGGAGGGGCTAGTCCCAAAAGAGTTGGTTTCCAGTTTCCTGTACCCTGGTATCTTAATGAAGGCACAACACACTCTCCTCCTTTAACCCAGGAAAAACATTCAGGACTTGTGGCTTACAGCATTCCTCTGGATGATTATATCCTATTCTTTTCTTGAGTGTCCAATACTGTCTGTGCTCTAACTTAGCAGTTTCCCTGGAACTGGATTAGAACAGTGGCTGCCATTCTACTTTGCCAGTTTCTGACCACCCTATCCTTGTTCATGTTTTGGATAACCTTGTATTCCCACAGCATTCTAATAGTTTCATAAAGCAAAGGAGATGAGCTTGTTTCTTAAAAAAACAGTAAAATGAGTAAAAAGTACTTAAGTACCATTTTAAAAGGAATGCCAGTAATCTCAATGCGAGCTCCTGATCCACCCCACCCATAAAGGATACCACTCTTAGGTGTGAGAGGTGGTTGAAACAGGCATTTTTCTTTTCCCTTCTGCACTGCTAGGAAAAGGTGAACCAGCTAAAGGATGAGGTGCGCCTACAGTATGAGAAGATGCACCAGATCCTTGACGAGGACTTGCGTAAGACTATGGAGATCCTAGACAAGGCCCAGGCAAAGTTCTGCAATGAGAATGCTGCCCAGGTGCTGCACCTCAGTGAGCGCATGCAGGAGGCCAAGAAGCTACTCAGCTCCGTTCAGGTCATGTATGACAAGACTGAGGACATCAATTTCATGAAGGTGAAGTGGGGGTTGTTTGGGGAAGGGGAGGGTTTGGTAGGATACTTAGCAGTAGGATCAGAGAAGGATTTGGAACCTATGGTGGCAACCTCAACCCAGTAAGTGCTGCTTCAGGTGCTGCTCCAAACTCCCATCTGCCCCAACACTCCACAGCTTACACCTTCCTCCACTGCTTCAGCCCTGTATCCCAGAAATGGCAGATCGTTCTCCTCCCTCTTCCCCACTTTTGGTTTCCTCTGCAAGCTCAGATATAGACTTCTGCTATTTCCAGAATGAGTGTTTCTCAAGGTACCCCTCAGCATCCCCATGCATACTTTCCTGACAAAGGTGAGCTGTATCTTTCCTGGAGTATTTTGAGCTTACCTGCTGTGGCTGGCCCTGCCTGTCTTTCCCATGGTTTGTGACCCCCCCCCCCCAACCCCATCCACTTTGAAGCTTCTCTGGGAACAGGAGAAAGTGTTGCTGAGAAAAAGTCAAAGGATGACCATGGCTTAATTCTCTCCCCCGATACAGAAGTGCAGACACCATTTATGTATATTCAAATACCATGTAGCTACCACAGGAATGTAAGAAAGGATTGTGACTGAGAGATGACAGGTCCCATGGTTTTTAACAAAACAAAATGGGTCCAGATCAGGACTAGCTTCTTCATCCTACTTTACATAGATCGAGGTTTTGACAGAAACCTTGGAGACCCTCTCAGTTACATACTAGAATAACACCCTTAGTGTTGTCTTTGTCTAAAGTGAGCCCGCACAGGCTGCCATTTTACCTCAGCTTCTGCCACACTGTACATGCACACTTTGAAGTCCAAATATGTGGTACTCTCCTTGAACACTTGACAGGATCATACAGTTGACCAAGCACTAACCCAGAGGAAGAGAGTTTGACCCAGGCTAGTTGGTCTTCATTGTGGTGCCAGAGATGTGAAGCACTGTATTTTTGAGGGCTACTTATTTTCTTCCTGTGTGTGGATCTACAGTATATGTTTTGAGTCAGCTGGGAGTAGGGAAGAACATTTAAATTAGGAACATAGGAAACTGTTTTATAGTGAGTCAGACAATTGGTCCATTTCACCTAGTACAGCTGACACTGACTGGCAGCAGCTCTCTAAGATTTTAAGTAAGAGTTATCCAAGCCCTGCCCAGAAATGCTGGAGGTCATACCTGGGACCTTCTGCATGCAAGCCAGCTGCTCTTTTCACTGAATTATGACTGCTTCCTGATGACAAAACGTGGATGAATTGGCTAGGTGAGGGTTGGGTTCCCACTGTTGGTGCTGGTGGAAAAGGTTGGCTAATGTGGCAGGAAGACCCCGGATTCAAATCCTCATTCTCAGCCTTGAAGCTTTCTGGATGACTTGTGTGTTTCAGTTGATTCTACCACATATGGTTCTTTGGATAAAATGGGAAAACTGTTTCTGCTACTTCAGCCTCTTTGGAGGAAGTGCACAGTGTGGAATGAATGCCGCATATGTGATGCCAATGAGGATGCCCCAAATACACAGGATGCTGCAGCCTTGTCTGGCTGTCCTGGCCATTGCTTGGACCTGTAATCCTAGATAGCATTCCTATGAGGTTGGTCAGTCCTCTTTTAAGGCAGAGGCAGGGAAGGTTAATTCCTGTCTTAAGAACTACCAGCCAACCAGAACAAAATGACATATGAATTGTGACCCTGGAGTGATCTCCCCCCTGGGGGGGGTGGTCTCTTGAGTTCACAGTGATGGGATTTGTAATTCAGATGCAGCTTTTAATAGCTTTGTTTGGAGAAGCACTTCCCTTGCAGTTGGTAGTGCATGGACATGACTCCAATAGGTTTCTCCCTCTGGTTTCCTGTATTGAATCTTCCCATGTGATATAGCAGATTAATGAATAAAAAAGTAAACTCAGACCTTGTACTCAGGGTAGGATTCTGCTCAGTGACCCCCTCTGAAGCTAATCTTCCCCTCACATAAACTAGATGGCCCACTTCTCAGTTTAGAAAGGCAAGATACCCTTGATCTCTTGAACAGTATTTTCTGTCAAAAAGAGGCTTTCCAAGTAAATCTCAGCAGCTGATTGGCGTGGTATTTACACCCTACTAGATTAGCTGGGCTGATCCAGCACTGTTGGCCTCATTGTGCTTTAGCAACTGAGTAGAGCCAAACTAGCAGAGTTGTGGTAAAGTGAATTGCAAATCTTTTTTGTGGAGGTGGGGGCAGGGGCATGCTGCAAGACAGCTGCCTAGAGATGCTTTTGGATTGGAGAGTGGGATGATTTTATGATGACGATCAGGCTGAAACATGCAGACAGAGGACATGATGGGGTGCATGGTAGGAAAGTACAGGGAAATGAGAACAATAGCCTTTTTAGTGTTTCAGCATTCACAGACTGTCTTGTCATGGACTGTAGTGGTAGGTTAAAGTCTAGAATCAGTATAGCGCAACAAATAAGATGTTGCATGGAGGCCTAGGCTGAAGTACCCATCTGAGTTAAAGGTTTGTTATTTTGTTTCTGCCTTGCTGCTTGAGAGAGAGAGACAGACCGACCGACCGACCAATGAATACCCACAAGCCTAATTAAAACAGCCCTTCTAGATCCAACTTTGTGATCTAGGAAACTGTAACAAAGGCACCTAAAAGGTAGAACAATTTTGTGAAGTAGCATCTTCACTTCAAGATGTTGTGCATGGTTAAGGATTGAGCTTGAGCAGATGGCAGCAGAGGGAAGGATGTCAGTGATACAATTGACCTTGAGTCTAATAACTTAGCAGTAACATAGCACTTCATCATGCTTTACATATATTTCCACTAATTCTTCCAAACCTCCATCAAGCAATCTGGTATTATCATCCTAATTCAATATAAGCAGCTGGCTGTCACTACCAGGGCAATTTCCTACATAACTTGATCAGTGCTGTTTGGTGCTATACTCCAGGATCTTGGGCCTGGCTTGGAGATACAGGGACCGAAACAGGGTTCTTTTAACATGTGCCCTGCTCAGAACTATGGTCCACCTGAGGCATATCTGTAGAACAGTGCATGGATACTGTGAGGGTGGGAGGGAGAAACATCAAATCTATTGAACCACTGGGAAGAGTCGAGAAGTCTACAATACTGGACAAACTGGAATTGTTGTGCCTCAAGAGGTCACTTGTGACTGACAACTTCTGATTCTCTTCTCTATTGCTTCCTAGAATACCAAGTCAGTGAAAATCTTGATGGATAGGTAAGAAATCAATTTCCTGGAAATGTGGGCATGACTGAAAGAGTACGTGTCTAAATTAGCCCATCCAGATTATCTTCCCAGGGTCAAAAGATATATTATTGGCTTTCTAAGCAAATATTCTACCCATGGGTTATTGTACTAAGATGGAACTTGGTAGTGTATATAACAAAAGGATACAGGGTTCCATTGTGGCCAGACACAGAAATGAGATGGGAGTGATTTTGCGATTGCCTTTATTTTAAGAAAAATGTTGGAGAACTGGCTAGAGTTTGGCAATATGTGAATGATTTGAAAATTTGAAAGATAAACTTGCTTTCAGTGGAAAAAATCAAAACATACAATCAGATTAGCTTTTCAGAAGCACTTTCACAAGTGGTGAGGATGGGGAAATAGATGTTTTCATGAATCATAGGGATACTAGATAAGAACTGATTATATGTTAAAACTGAACAAAATCCAGTCCAGACACATCACAACATTTGAATGAACAATTGCCGTATTTTTCGCTCTATAAGACGCACCTGACTATTTAATAAACTATAACAGAATACAGTAATACCGTATTTCAACCTTGTAAAGTGAACAGCAGTCAACAGTGGCATTAAGAACCATCATCACTGTCATTAACAAAAGAGAGACTTTAAAGTTCGAGTGCTCTTCTAGTTTTTGCTGAACCCATAGAACTCATCATCACTCGAATCAGAATTTATGAAGCTCTGTTGCTCACAATCACTGACATCACTTTCTTAGTCAGTAGTGGAATTATTGAAGGAATCCACAGTCTACACCAGTTATACAAGAGCTGCTGCAGACAATTCAGTAACAAATCTAAAAAAGCCAGTAATGTCCACGCTGCCGTACTAGTAAATAATAGAAAAAAACTTCTGACAAAAAATGAGATATTGTATGGTAAATCAAACACACAGCGGACTAAGTAGCCTTTGAAGAATAAACTTCATACATGAAGGTAATGCTGTTCAAATATCCACTGATCCTAAAAAAAAATGTGCCTGATCAACTAACAGATAACTGATCCATGGAAAGCTTCCTGATAATCACAGGCACATTCCCCATCACTTCCCCATGGGCTTCATTAAAAGACAGATTGCCATTTGAAAACACACACCGACCTGTGATTAACAGCTCTCACCTGCGCCGGAGGAGGGGGGCGAAGCAGGGCGTACCGAGCCTGTGCTGGCCAGGTGGTGCCACGTGGTGCAGGTGGCCGGCAGCGTCCCAGGTGTCGGGCACACACACATTTGCTCTATAAGACACACAGACATTTCCCCTTTTGAGGGGGGGGAAAGTGCGTCTTATAGAGCGAAAAATACGGTAAAAATCCATAGAACAGGGTGTTCATTCCTTGCAAATTAAATGAAAACAGGGCAACATTCCAAAAGAGAGAGATTGACCAAATCCAGCCACAAAAGAGTGGAAACTGCTTGCATGATATAACAGCCCACCGAGATTAATTTAGCCCACGGTGGGATAATGGCATGTGCAGCAATATGCAATCCATGGTCAGAGCCCATTGTTCTGTGCAACATGGATTATTGCTTATTTACTCATCCAAACTCTGCCAGAATCTTGCTTCAGTCTTCGATATGGCCCTATGTTACCTGGCAGTAGTCAAATAAGTGAAAATTAAAACTGCTGAGTAAATCCGACTTAAAACAATTTCCTACTTTGTGTTAATGCAAACTAACTACAAATAAACATATTTTACTAATAAAACATTGTGATGAATTTTGATTATAGGCTTCTGCTAAATGAAGTTAAGGAGGCAATATGTTGGAATATTCCTTTGTTGCAGAATTGGGCTTACAGGTCTATCAGCAGAGAAGTATAAAATGAGGTGGGGGAGAAACTACTCTGGCAACTTGAGGCTCATCCCAAATTATCAGAATGACAGAGTTCTAGGAAAGAGTCAAGTGGCCTAAATCAGAAACTGGAGGGAAGTGCAGGTGTTTTTCTGGTAGGCTCATTACTTGACCTCTAATGTGTTGTAATGCTCATTTTAAGGACCCAGAACTGCACAGGAGGCAGCCTGCCCCCTCCCAAGATTGGCCACCTCAATTCCAAGCTCTTCCTGAATGAGATTGCCAAGAAGGAAAAACAGTTGCGTAAGCTGCTGGAAGGTGAGTGATGCCTCCCTTGGCCCTTCCTTTGCCTGAGTCCATACCAATGAATCCTCTTAGTGTAATCTGCAGCCAGAGAGGGAGAGCTGCAATCCATTTTTGTATTTTGCCTATTTAGCATTGATATTATTGGCCGATTTGTAGCTTTTGACCTGAGATCTAGATGTAATCAAAAGGGCAGGGAAAATGATGGATGGGAGGGGAAGTCGCACAGAATTATGTTCAGTATGGCTGAGCTGATCTGGGATTAGTACCTGAATTTGATCAGATCATGGCTGTCACCAGCTCTACTGAGATTTAAAACAGACCTTAAACTCCAGGACATTTTGCAGTGTATTTTTAACAAGTAGGAAGTAGCAGTGCTGGCAAAATCAGATGGGCACGAGAACATCTTGACCTTCTCCAAACAGAGCTTCTACTGCAGAAATGGGTCCAACAGCGTCCTCCTGATGCTGTTGGATCCATCACCTCTGGCCTTTCGACATAGCATCTCAGACTAATGGGAGGTGACAGCTGTGGGTTCCCTGCTCCTGTTTGAGAAGTGTCACCTTAAAAGAGGGGAAAATTCTCCCAAAAAGGTGTGAGCATTTTATTAAGGGGGGCTCTTCCAAATCACTGTATTGTGGGTGACTGCAAAGTAATCCTGGCACAACCTGTGGACCTTAAAATACAAAGTCAGATGCTTAGTGACTTCCTGTCTTACAGAGTTGGAACCAGAAGCAGATGGGTTAGACTTTGGGAAGGCTTGCAGAGTATTTTTACTTGACCTAGGTAAGGTCACAATCACAGAGTTTATCAACTCCTCATCTGGAGTTTTAGATAGTTTTTCTTGCCCCACCACACTTCCAATAGTCACAGTCATCCATATTTTTTCTTTTCCTCTTGCCACCTAACTCTGCAGATATTTACTTGGAAGTAATTCCTGATCATTCTTTGGGAGGAATTTACTTACTATGTATAGGATTGCAGCCTGATCTGAAGCATATTTGCTGAGCAGGGGGTGCTTCACATGCAACTTTGCATAAAATTTCAGACTTAGTTTTGTTATTTTGGTCCCTTAAGAATTCTCCCATTGCCTGTTGAGGGGATACTGTGATACTGTAATAAACCATACATATGCGTGAAATTTACAGAGTGCATACTAATTTTTTCTTTTGAATTGTACCCAAAACAACATAGGCAACCATGAGAGGCCAGAGTATTGCTTTGCAAAAATCTTCTCTGAAGTGTTACCCTCCAAATAACTAGAACTACAAACTCCATCACCTGCAACCAGTGGATGAATGGAGTTGTTCTAAGCATTTGTAGAATGCTAGGGTAGGGAATGGTAGTCTATAAATTGGCCATATTTTGGCTTCAGCTCAAATACTTTTTCCAGTTTTGAAAGAGATTTCAGAAAGGGTCATAACAGGTAAAAATATAAGATATTTGAACAAAGGAAAGATGAAGAAACTGGATCGGCACAAGCAAGGCTCTGGATAAAACACCACCTTTTAGATAGTTAAAATATAGCTGGTATAAAGAAGAAGGCGAATGAGTATACACCCTTTCTTGTATGGGACATAAATTGCCTTACAGAAAATAAATGCAATAGTTATGGTCCTGTTCCTAACTTACAGATAAACTTCAACTGGAAGCACAGATGTGTCCATCATATGTCATGCTCACCCTTTAAAAACATTGTTACTTTTATTCAATAATTATTATTAACTTAAATGGAGGACATTTTATTCACTGGAGGCAAAGAACAATGCAATTAAGGCTGGTCCTGTCACACTTGAATAGGCCTCTTGTCAGTGGTGGCTAGTCATGATGGCTATATGCTGCCTCCAGTATTAGAAGCAAGCAGTATGCCTTTTATATCAGGTGCCTGGGAACACAAGCAGGAAGGTGCTTTCATATTCATGGCCACTTCTGGACTTCTCACGGACAGCTGGTTAGCCACTGTGTGAACAGAATGCTGGCCTCCACGGTCCTTTTTAGTCTGGTCCAGCACAGCTCTTCTCATGTCCTAATAGTTTGTACACATTGTGTATTGTTTGAGGGTGATCTGTGTTGGAGGAATATTCTTTGCACTTAGACTCTGCCAAATTGCTAGGCTAATAATGACGAGCAGATCCAAGCCAAGGCCTGCCTGGAAGGCAGGGTGAAACAATGCTTGGCTGATGCAGGGTGTCCAGTGCATCTAAAAGTTTACCTAACAGATTTAATTGTACTTATATAGCTGCAGCATAACACAACTTTTCCAGGCAGCTCACAAAACAGATAACACAATATAAATCAATAAAATCTAATAAAAACAAATATACCCTGAAAATACATTTCAGGCTCCTTGTATCTTCTGTGGCTGAAATGCTGAGATTAAGCTGAAGGTCAAGGAAGCTGCAAGACTGTCTGCCATGGGGTTTAGGGCTACTGGTCTGGGCCCCAGAAATTCAAATAAAGTATAGGGAGCATCATTTTGTGAAACACAAGTTTTTGATTTGTGTATTTTAAGAACTGGAAGCTGGCAGGAGCTCTGATGTCCAAACCAGAAGGACCTGGGGTATTTATTGTCTTTGTTTATATGCTGGGTACTTACCAAGCGCTTGGCATGCCATAGCTGTTCTGTGCCAAGTTCTAGAAAACAACATGTGGGCACAGATTAGCAGGTTCCACAACCCTTCCATGAATTATGTCCCCTTGTTTGCAACTTGGTTCAATGGTCCTGAGAGGAAACACTCTTAATTTGTGCTGGTGTTGGGCTTATTTATACAATAGAGTTGCTGCAGAACAGCTAGATCAGCTTTCTTCAGTACCCTCCAGATGTGTTGGACTGTGCCATCCTTTATCCTCAGCCAGCATAGCAATGCCTGTGCTGGGTGAGGATGATAGCAGCTGTAAGGGGCACTAGCTTGGAAATTGGGCTGTTTTTCTGGTTTTGGCTAGGTAGTTCTTTTCAGCAGCTAGCTGAGAGGTCCCTCCTTTCTTTGGCATTACCTGCCAGGACTTGCCTTGCTGTCTTTGAAGGAGAGCAATTGGGTACCTGGTGGAGGGAATCTCTTTATCTCACTCATGTATTTGAAAAGACAGGGCCTGACTGTCTGGTGAAGATAATTGCCCCTGTTGTCTCTGATTTCCTTCAGGTCCCTTCAGCACCCCGGTGCCATTTCTGCAGAGCATTCCTATGTACCCTTGCAGTGTCAGTAACTCAGGAGCCGAGAAACGCAAGCACTCCACTGCTTTCCCAGAAGCCAGCTTCTTGGAGCCATCCTCGGGACCTGTTGCCAGCCAGTATGTGAGCCAGGGGGCTTCAGCCGGCGAAGGCCAGTCTGCACAACCCATGGTGCCTTGTAGCTCCACCCAGCACATTGTAGGACTCCCCAGCGGCCCCCAACCGGTACACTCTGGCTCCATGTTCAACCCGTCTCACTATCCCAACAGCACATCATCTCAGCAGTCTGTGCTGTCTCAGTACGGAGGGCGCAAAATCCTCGTCTGCTCCGTGGACAATTGTTACTGTTCCTCAGTATCAAATCACAGTGGGCATCAACCATATCCACGGTCAGGCCACTTTCCATGGACAGTGTCATCACAGGAATATTCCCACCCTCTGCCACCTGCTCCATCTGTACCTCAGTCGCTTCCAGGATTGGCAGTGAGAGAATGGATTGATGCATCTCAGCAACATGGACGCCAGGATTTCTATAGAGTTTATGGTCAGCCTTCCACCAAACACTATGTCACCAGTTAACCATCTGGTTCGGATAGAATCCTGTTGATTTTTGAAGATTTTTTAAAACCTAGTTTCTGTTGTTGTTTCAAATCAAATCCATTTCCATTTGTCCTTACCACATGCCAGAGTCTGAGAGGGGCATTGCTGTCATCTCTATTTTTAATTTAATTTTTTTAAGTCCTCCCTTGTATCAGGTTGGGGTGGGAGGGGAGCTGTGGAAAAAATTAACAAGGATTTCAATCAAGCATCTACTTCTGGATCATGTGACATTGCTACTTTTCCAGTTTGGAAAACTTTTAAGAGGACAAATGATCCTTTTCTATTTCAAAGTCTCTGGGCTCTTTGGTTTTGCTTTTAAAATTCTTTTTCCTTCCCATTTTTAACAGGAGAAAATTTCTATCATTGATTCATTAAGAAATGACACTTGTAGATTTTTTTTAAGGCTGATTTTTTTTGTGTGTTAAGGCCACATACAGTGCATATTGGCATTTTTCTTCTTCTTTCAGAGATTTGTAAATACACAATGGCAGGAAATGAAATGCACAAAAAAAGGGAAAAGAAACTTTAAAAAAAGAAATAAAAAAATCTGTTTTAGTTTCCAGGAGGGAAGTGTGTGTCAAGGTGCACACATTCCTTCCTGTGTTTTGTTGATGCAACTTCCTCTAACAAGCACTTTGTATTAAAAAAGTGGACTTCCTGTTATAAAGGCGCAGGTATTTATTCTGTAACCAATTTTAGAACACACACACAAAAATATTCAAATAAATGTGATCACTTAGTGCAAATGCTTTGTTCTGCTTTGCCTCCATGGGCACTGCTTCAGCCAACACCTCATCTGGGAACTGGGAAATGTTACTCAAACAGAAAACTGACAGCATTTAAAAATAGACACACTGCTCTATGCATTCCCTTTGGTATAATCTTAACTAGAAATGCAAGGATTGTGTAAATGTTGAGGAGTATTGGTTAATAATGCTGGGTAATATCTTGTACCTTCTATAGGAAAGCAAGACTGTAGTTTGACTATAATGACACTGGACTGAAGATGAATCAGGGCAGATTAAAAGGTTTCTGTAACATGGGTACAGTATTTATAAAGAAAATATATAATGTATGTTATCTTCTCACCTGCTAGAACTTGGTTAGAAAACGAGATTCACAAAGTAAGATATACTCGTAGTTCTCCTGTTATCCTGGCAAGCAATACACTGTAGAATATTTACATGGCTTGGCTTCCTAAGGTTTATAGTTTTCATTTCAATCAAAAACTGTAGTTGTCTAGTCATTGTTAGCATTATTTAGAAGTGTAAACAGTTAATATTAGAAATACATTTTTCAAACCATTACAAAGATTCTGTTCTGCCACATTTAGGCTGTAGTTCTGTGCACACTTAGATGAGAGTATCACTGAACACAGTGGGAATGACATCCAAATTCACCTGCATAGGATTGCACTTTTACGTGATCCTTTTTAAAGCTACAATTTAGAGTCACATTCCTCTGAGTCCCAAACAGTGACATTCTTTTTGATTCCCCCCATCTGCTTCAGCAGCAGCTGATTTTCAGAAGATAATTCTAGTGAGGCCAAGATCTAGGCAATTTTCCTGAAGACCACGAACAGAACAAGACAGATCCCTGACTGGCAAACTAAAAAAAAAACCCAAAAACCCTCATCTACATCTGTTCCCCACCACTTCCCATTAATTCTTCCCAATATATTCCCCTCCTAAATTAATTTTACCATAGGTTTCCTCTCCCTAAAGAAAGAAAAACTCAATATCTAGGCACTTAGCCCATCGGCAGAAAAACCTAGTGCATTAAGCCTTGTTCTCTCTCACTTCTAATTCTCCAGTGTAAAAGAGAAGGAGAACAGAGCCACTGTTTTTTTAATTATTAAAGGATGGCTAATAAGTAAAACAGCCACACAAATTCCACCCACCTCAGTCAGTCAGTCAGTCAGTCTGCTTCCATCACTCATGCTTCTACAGTTTTATGCCAGTTAGTAAAGCAAACACTGTGCAGCACTCCTACATCTGTAAGGTTTGGCTGGCAGTGAGCTCACACATCCTTTGTCTATGTCTTTTGCATACACATTTATATTTCTTCATGGTCTCTGGGCATCACACACATGGGTGTGGCACCCGCGCAGTGCCTAAAGAAAGCAGACAGCTTGAACTATAGGCTTGCTTTTGTGAGATATGTTTCATCCTTACGGCAGATAGGTACCATATTTGGGAAGCCAACTCCCAACAACAGCCAGGTTTCAAGACTTTGGTTTTTATATTCACATCCATCTGGCATGTCTGGAAAAGTTCAAAGAGATGCCATGTTTGTTGGAAACTGATCAGGCTGGTTTAGCTTTCTCTTGTCATGATTCCTAATCTATTTAAGTCCATCCCATTAGTACTTCTTTCCTTTCAAGAGGCCTGTGGATAGTGTTCATCTGCATTATCATTCTTTCTATGGTTGCTATTTGACTGTGCATGCTCATGCTAATTAAATAGCATTTTAACTATTTTATAAGGTAGCTATGCACTTTTAGCATTTTAATATAAAATCAATCAAATTCTCATGTTACCAGATTGGTTTTCATCTGATGGCAGTCTTTAGATTCTTCCTGCATTGCTTTTGCTGGCAAGGTGTTCAGTTGTGGCTTGCTCTTATGAATTTTGCCTCTCCTGTAGCTGTGATGCATTGAGTCAGCCTCTGGCTGCAAAGCTGTAATATAGGTTACAATTAGATCTGCTGCCTCTTACAGTCTTGTGTTTGCACCAGCATCGCAAAATGCCAAGCAGCATGGCAGGCATAGAGACTGCCTTGGTTCAGCAGGTGAAGAAGGGGTGAAAGAGCTACAGCTGTCTCTCTCGGTAGATTTAAAGGTACAGAGTAGAGTTGGCAATTGTAGAAAGTTAACAAGCTATGCAGGTGAACCTTTCCCTTTAAAAGCAGATCTGCATGAGTTGCAAAGAATGTTGATACAGCCCACAACTACAGCAAAGGGGCTTGTGGGTGAAGAAAATAGAACTTCCCCCAAAAGACAGCTTATCACCCCATGCTCTGCTGCCTGATGTAATTCCCTCTTCAGCTTGGCTGATACATAGCAGGGGAAAAAGCAAGGCCTGGCAGGAGTTAAGTGGCAAGCAAAGTGTGTGTGTGTGTGTGTGTGTGGGAGGGGGTTCTGGGTTAAGAACTACTTGACTCACCCTTTAGGTTTTAAAGTCAAGTCTGCACCCCATTTTTTACTGAGTTGCAGTAAGTTGGACTGATTTAGGACACCAATTTAAATGGGCAAGTAAAAAGGTCGCTTCTGTAAGATTCCCGCCGAAACTTCTGTTTATTTCCTGAGCAATATTGCAACTCTTGACAACTAACCCATGCTAATTTATAGCTAAATTATTATTTACTCTCTTATTTTTAGAAGCAGGCTTTGTTTATTTTTGTTGCACTGTATGTTTTTCGCATGCATGCCCTTTTGCCTGTCAATGGAATGTCTAAAATAATGCAGTTGCAAGGTTTTTCTTACGACTGGCACCCATGCCAGTTTGAATTAACAAATGTATGCCTGCTCAGAAATGAGTTCTATTGAGTTCAATGGGGCTTACCTCCAAAAGTTGGATATAGGATTGTAGCCTTACTATGAATATAAGAAGATACACTCTGGGCAATCTGGTCTTCATTTTCCTTTCCAGTGTTGCTCCTTTCTGCAGTACTCTGTTTTAGCCCAGCCTTTTTCTCACAAAAAACATTGTAGCAAGCAGTGCTTTTTTTGTCATAGAACACACTGAAACGGAGTTCCGGCACCTTTTTTTTGACAGATTTTCCAAGTTTTAAAAGTAACTTTTGAAAAGTTGATGTTTGGTCTAGGTGGATTCGAATCGCCCTGTTGAGCATAGCAGGTCAGCAGCAAAATAATTAAAACGGTGCATGTGGGCTGCTTGTGTGTTGAATCCGATGCATGCGTACTTCGTGCTGGTTGTGATGGCGCTGCTCGGCTTGTGGCGCTGCTCGGCTTGTGATTGGTTGTGTGGTTGCTGAGTGCTTACTGCGGGCGGCAACCATTATGTTTCATTACACAACTGGGGTGTGTGTGTGTGTGTGTGTGTGTGTGTGTATACAGTGATTGACTATGTGTGAAAGGTAAATAATTTCATGAGTTCCGGCACCTTTTTTCTTACAAAAAAAGCACTGGTAGCAAGCAAAAAAAAAAATACCCACAATTGATAGGATAGAACAAAGTTTTGATAGCTAGCTGGGCTGAAAAACCAAACTAGGGGAAAATCTCATTCATATTTAGACAGAAAAATGCCCTTCAGCATCCTCAGAACATTCATGGGAGCTGAAGAATGCTAGGAGTTACAGGACTTCTTTCTGTTTAAACGTGTACGGGATTTTGCCCATAAAACCCAATTTTGAGACTTATTTTAAGCATCAATTTTTATTTGCCCTTGTATATTGTCTTGTCTTTATCAGTCCCTTGCCTTCCTTGGTTCAACTGTAGCACCATATAATCCTAGCATAGCAATCATATCTAGTCTGTATCTAAAATATGTGGCTTTACTCAGAAAAACAGAACACAGAACTTTGTAGACTCAAGAGCTGTTAGGATGGGTGGAGTCATTTTCATGAGATGAAAAACTGACATTAATGCCCATGTTTGATCAGTAGTAGGTAACTTCATTTTTACAGGGTACAAGTGCAAGCTCAAAGTATTTATTGTGTATTTAAATGGTAAGTTATATTTTTAAAGTAGAAATTCAATTTACACTTTAAAATTGATTTAATTTTTTAAAAATTGATTTAAAAATCATTTTGTTTTGTATTTGTTCTAATTATTTACATAGTGCCTAGTAATACAACAACCAATAGGTAAAAATGCTAAATACTGCTCACAATGATCAAATTTTATGATCAAAGATGAATGCAAATTAAAAGCAGTCACAAAATTTTAAGCACAACCATTTTTTTCACAGCAAAGCTGACATTAAGCAAGGACTTTTAATGATTCCTGAGCTTTTTCATTCTACTACATAATAAAAAGACTGCTTTTCTCTGAATTGATCATTTATTTTTATCTACCCTGACTGGGACAGGTTGGGACATACCTGCATTTTATTGATAGGACTGCATTTATTTACAGCTGGGGGTTTGGCTTCCAAGGCTATGATTTGCAGGGCCTCAACTGCCTTCTTGCAGTGGAAAGAGCTGCTCAGGGTCCGTGCCCCTGCTTCTGCATTGCCGGGGGCAGCCTATTCTTACGTGATTTCACCCAGTGTCGAGATTAAACCACAAGATTTTGCAAAGGGCGGAACAGCCTGTAATGAGTCCAAAGCACCACCAAGTTATTTGAATGCATTATTACCTACATGGTTTTTGGTAGAAAGGTGATACATTTGGGCCATCAGAAGAAAATCGCAATGCGAGGACCTGTTAAATAGGATGAGGTTTTCATATCATAGAAGCCACAAACGGGATTTTGTTTTCAAGCACCTGCTCCCCTTTGGATTGGAACAGGGTTTATTCTGTCTTGCAAAAACTTCATGGAAAAGATACCACATCCACCACTGTTCATTTACCCTTTCCTGTATTTGGTGATATATTAATCTCAAGCACTACTGTGAATAGGAGTTGAGCAATAGGCTTCTTTGAAGTGATAGAGCTTAGTGCTACCTCTGCTATGGTGCAAAGGGGTGGATAAGCATCTACCTGCAACTTCATGCCTTCTGTATGTGCCATTGGGCTGTAGCTTCCATCATTTCCAGTCAGCTTGGCTTAAAGTTTCAGTCTA